CTTCTCAGTGCCATCAGACTACGAAAAAGAGAGAGAGAGAGAGAGAGAGAGAGAGAGAGAGAGAGAGAGAGAGAGAGAGAGAGAGAGAGAGAGAGAGAGAGAGAGAGAGAGATTTGGGACACTTGGATTTGGCTACATTTGGATTCAGACTTGACATTTGGACCGAGACATCGTGGGGGACTAATCGGGGATCGACATTGGCCACATCTGGGTTGACGACATTCTCTCCCCTTTCTCCCTCTTCTTCGTTTCTTCTCCCTCCTTTTCATCCATGTATGATCTGAGCCTGGCGCATTCTTCCTGTGTGTGGCGCCAGGCCCTGCACACCTTGTGATGATGATGATGTCTGTTCTGTCTGTATTTCTGACATTGATTTGTCTGATTATTGGTATTACAGTCTTCCACTGTGCTATATTGCTCTATCTGAGAGAGGTCGGTTCTTGGTTCTGGTCTGCACCTTTTCGGTATGCGACAATTTCCCTCCCCTCTTCCCCCGTCCTTTTATCTAGATCGTAATGCCAGGCCAGGCTGATCCAGTCGCACAACTCCCTTGCTTAATCGTATCCCTGCCTTCTATGTCACAGGTAGGACATTCCATATCAATTTCTTTTTTTTTTTTGAATCTATCGTTATTGCATTCCATATCATATGAAACGGTTTTCACCTTTGCAGAGGCAAATGCAGATCCCAGGGTTTGATCCCCAGACCTTACCTCACCCATGTACAGTATCGAGCTGACCCCTGAGTATTTGAACCCGTAACCTGTGTATTCGCAAATAGTTGGTAGGCTGTTTTAGGTCCGTAGGTTGTAGGGGACTCGATCTGTAGACCTGTCGGATAGGAGTCTTAGTGAGTTCTAGAAGTCGTAGCTGTAGCTCCTCTGAAGGGTCAAGGTCGTAGCTGCCACAGTACTCCAAGGCCAAGTCCACGGTCTTCCAGAAGGTCCGGAAGTGGCCTTTCGAGTTTCCCCTCGCGTTTTACACAGAGGGCCAGAGGCAAGTGGGCAAGTGGTGTGCCCAACTTCGCTTAGTCAGCGGTACCCAGTCCTAGTCTCACTTTGCACAGTCAGCAAGTACCAAGGGGGACTGTGCAATCAGACTCGACTTATTCACTCTTTTCATGCACATGAACAGCAACACACAACTGGCGACATGCGCCCACACAGCACACAAAGATATGTCTTCCAGGTAAGTTCGCTTCCACTGGTTATGGCGACTAAGCGCCCAGACATCTCACTGTTCACACTTTGGATCACCCTGGATGTCCCACACGCAATGCTCTGTAACCACACGCAACACACACACACACACTACTATAGCTATGGCAGCGCTAGCTGCCACTACCCTATCGCTACCCTACACTTCTCTGCCCACTTCGTCTTCGGGCATACTGCAGACCTCCTCGCACAAGCTGCTGAGGCAGCGCTTCCGCATGGCATCCGCAGGAATGAATGAATGGCTGGACGCAGCCTCTTGATTTATACTTCTGCGCTGCGCTGGTCTGCCCTGTGTCCCTTGGCCCTTGGTGCACACAGTCCCAGACGGTACTTGCTGGACAGGACCGGACTGCCTAACTGGGACTGTTGACTCAGCAGGGTGGCCTACCACCACTTGACCACTTGCCTCTGTTCAACGTAGGCTCACTCCGAAAGGCCACTTCTAGTAACCTCCGACTTGGCCTTTCGGTGTTGTAGCAGCTATGACTTTGCCCCTTGAGGTAAGTAGCAGCTACGACCTTGACCTTTCAGACAACCTACAACTACGACTTCGGAACTGTCTAGACTCCTACCCTACARGTCTACAGTTCGATTCCCTTCTAAGCTGTGACCTACGACAATCTACCTACCACTGGCGTTTCGACAGGTCGCAGGTTCAAATCTACGGGTTGWCATCAATACTGTACACAGGTAAGATGGGGAACTAGGGATCGAGCCCTGGGATCTGCAT